CTACCGTAAGCAAAAATCTGAAACAGTTCATAGAATCTGAAGCTACCGTCTCCAGGCAGGCACTTCGATACAAAAAGATATGCGCATCGCAAAGCTGATCGAATGATGCCCTTATATTAAAACTTCGTCCACTTTGAAGCAAAGTATGGCCACTCTACGATTATGTCACGTGAATAATCGTGTTTTTTAAAAATACGAGCGGGACTGTATGGTGAAGGTTAAGCTTCAACTGTGAAAAGTTGCGGCGAATGATCTGCTGTAATCTACAAAAGCTGTGGAGAAAGTATCTGCTTTTTTCAAAAATTCAAAACTTTTCCCTATGAACTTTGATATTTTGTCTGATATTCTGACGTTTCGTCGGATCTTAAAGAAGGAAATACTGTCTCTCAGCGCGCCTGGAGGAACAGTCTCTTGGAGGGACTCACGCGTCCCCACATCCTGGCAGGCACAGAACTAGCATTTAGTAGGAAAAAATATGCAGTGCTTCAATCTAGTCGTCTTTGAAATCTACGAATAAATAAATGAATTGTGATTTCTTTTTAATTTGTTTAAATTTGTCTTGTGTATGTGTGCAAAGGTCTAAACAACTCAACTTTTGGTTGAACATATTCATTTCTGAGACAGTTTCGTCGAAGTAACATCATCGCTTATAATAATAGGCTAAGGGTGTTTACGTTTTTTTGTGTGTATGTGTGTGTGTCTGTCTGTCCGTTACGAAATTCGTGGAGCGTCTAGCAAAGGTATTGAGCTTGAATTTTGGTAGTAGCACCTTATCAGCATGTAGATAAAGTGTGCGAAAGCACAAGCCGATCCGTTACGTAGAACCTGTGAAAACTCTGCGCTAAACAGATTCACGCAACTTTCGGTGCGTCAAAGTGGGTCTACAATTGAACTTTACCCAAAGTCGTGGAATTGTTTGACAAGTAAATCCGCAAACCATAAATTCTAGCTCGAAATGCGAGCAAAAACTCTACTTTCAAGCAAGATAGGCGTCAAAAAGGAATAACTGCGAAGATAATCGATTTGTAAGTTTTTAACAAAGAATTTGAGAAAATTCTTGCTTAGGGATGTAACTCACGGCTGCCATCATCGTTATGGTTATATCAAGCCATTATAACTCCAGTAACTGATTCAAACTCGCAGGTATCCTTTTGAAGAATCTTTATTTCCTCCCAAATTCACCGATCTTACATAAAAAAGCTTTTGGAATGAGTAGTTGCTTACAACTCATTCGTGATGATCGGTAAGCTTAGTAATTTTCAAGGGCACCATTCTGCGAGTACAAAAATGGCATGTGGATAGAAGAAGTGCGAGCCTCTGCGAAGCAGAGGTGACGCACTGGTATTTCTATATTCACCGTTTCTTCTCTATAAACCAGCAGCGATATAGTCAAAATTTAGACTCAGCTATCGAAATCCTCCATGGTTTCAAGCGGTTTGCGCTCAACGCTAATCCTCTGCACTATTAGGCTGATGCATAATTCCTGTACCAAATTGGGTATAGACCGCAATAATACGTAGTAATCCTATTACAATTAGACCTCGATATATCATTAGATAGAACAAACCTAGCTCTATAAGATAGTGCTTAAAGTTTTGTAGCAGCTTTGATCCAAGCGAAGATTGAAGCCAAAAACGAAAAAGATTTAAGCGGCCCACAAAACCAAGAAAAAATTAGAAGTCCGTTCAGAACAATCCTTTAAAATTCCTAACCTGCTCATGCATTGTATTTTCGTGCGAGACATTTCTCTATGAAGTCGCTGTATTTTTCTCTCAGCTAGAAATTTGAAAAAACGAAGTCTTCCATGTTTTTTCCAAAACAATGCTGACAATGAGATGTTCTAGCACTGACAGTTGTGCGCTACAGGACCTTAGAAGCGTGAGTGTGAATTTTCAGCCTTTTACAGCAGCTGGTTTACGAGAAATATCAAACTTTTAGCAATTAGGCAAGATAAATTCGGATAAGGAGAGCTAGATTTGTCTTTTCCCTTAAACTAGCTGTACTAAAAGGCTGAAAATGTAACATTATACTGCTAACGACATGTACTATACGACTGTTAGTGCTAGACATCTCAGCACTAATTTGGCAAAAACAGAAAAAACTCCGTTTTCTTATCGTCTAGCTGAGAGAAAAATACAGCAATTGCATAGATAAATGTCTTATGTAAAAGGTCTACGCGTGAGCAGGCAACAACTTTTGTATGAGCTTTTTGAATGAACTTACAATTTTGTTTTGATTGATCTTATTGTTAGGATTTTCGGACGCATGGGCCGGTAGTAATCTACCCTACCTGGTGGCATCAAAGATGCCGGCAGGTAGGCACACATCGCGGGGAAGTTGCCATCATTGGCGGCAGCTCGTGGAGTGATTGTAGGTTTCAATAATCTTATGTACCTTAATGCGCAATCATTTCGCACATCGAATTTTGATGACGCACACAGCCGCAAAACTGCTATCTCACGCGCGGCCGAACCTAAGTGCGTTAACTTCAAGTGCCACCCCGTTAACCATTCGACCATTCGGGCAAACATTTCCGATTGCACCAGCAATAGGAGGAACGCACCGGTAAGTGGTTGTAAGAGGGATCAATACATTGCGTGAGAGACTTTGACCTGAAAGAACAGCTGATTGATATGAGCGAGAGAAGGGCGAAATCGGTGCAAACGAGATTTAGAAGGGATTGCCAAAAAAATGGTGTTCTTTATGGTTCTAAAGCATGACTAGATTTTTTCTCTGAAACAAAATCGTCGTTTTAAAAAAGAAAAACTCATATAATGAGAAAAATGATAGTTTTTTGATAGAAAGTGGAGTTTTTTGATTTTTTCGCCTGACGTAAATTGTGTGATATCGCCGCAATTCGCAAACTCACAGACGCCGTCGGCAAAGGTGCCACCACCTCGACGTGGTAGGGGCACGTCGAGATGCCGGCAGCTCCCTCTCTCAAAAGAGCACGCTATTTACCGTGCTCTCTGACCTGCCGGCAGCTGCCATCTCGCGGATTTCGACGAGCTGCCGGCAGGTTGCCGGCAACTGAAATCGCGAAGTTGCCGGCAGCTCCTCCCGCGCTTCCAGATATTTTAGTAAAGGAGAAGTTTTGGAACCGCAGACTTTTATGGAGTTTTCTACAGAGTCGAGGCGGCATCTTCATCGAAAAAATTTTTTGGAATAAGGCCTGGGACGGCATAAATTTGGGGTTCACTTTCTGGCCACCTCACGGAAAAGGTGCCAGCGACCTGCTGACGAGACCTGCCGCCAGATCGGGGGGATTACTACCGGCCATGGTTTTTTTTTTCAGATCTCGCCTTAAAACTTCGCGTGGATCCAAGCTGTTGTAGATTTTTGAGCACTATCTTGTAGAGCTAGGTTTGCTATATCTAATGATTTATCGAATTCTACTTGGGATATAGGACTATTCCGGATTACTGCGGTCTGTACCTATTTCGGTGCAGGAATTATGCATCAATCTAGTACTTACAAACGCTGTTTTTGCCTTCTTTTAAAGGTTTCCCTTTCAGTAAGGACTCCGAAGATCTAGACATCACAATCCGTACATCAAAGTTTAGCTACTGTTTACAGCTAAGTACTCATTGTCCACCAATTTTCTTTTTGCTCCATTGCTGGGTTCTTTGCCATGTTTCCTCCTGCTATAGTCAACCACAACGCGATCGTTTTCTGGTGAATGCAAGAAAGGATAGGATTACTAAAAGCTAGTCCGGCATCTTATCTCTTCACGAAAAGTTATTATGGAGCTTTTGACAAAAACTCAAATGAAGAGAGCAGAACAGCGAGATATCCGCCGCGACCTGACTTTCCTTGAAGTAAGTATAGCAGTCGAGTCATGTCAAAGAGGAAAGAAAAATAGTTTGATCTTAAAAGTTAGAATATGATGACAAATCTAGCAAGATTTTCAACAGCATCCTTCATGATGAGTGCAGTTAATTAATTTTTGCTTATGTCACGCAGTGACTCCGTTTGTCGTATTTTTTGTGGATGCACATATCCTGAGACTCAAAGCGTCGCCAACGGGCTTTTCACATAAAGGAATACAAAAAGCAGCACGTACTACCCGTTAGAGTTTTCAAAATGCCTATGAGCGTTTTACTCGCACAATCTAGACAGAGAAAATTTCCGCTTTCTTTTCTACAGTCTGCAGCTTGAAGCTTGGAAATGATAATACAAAGATAAACTGTCTTTATAATTTAATCATCCCTCTCGAACTTGATTCCAAAAAAATATCAATTTCATTGATTCGTCTCGATTTCCAATTATCATTCTCACCTCTCCAATCTAGCTGAATTCTGGGTGAAAGATTTCTATCATTTTTGTTTGTTTTATGACTTCAATGGAATTTTGGAGCCGAAGTTGCCTTAGGCGAAACTCGAAAGGCCTCGGGCAGATTTTACGATATTCGATCGTGATTGATCGCAACAACACAACTGTAACATTATCACTGCATACCGATCTTCTTGCATTTCGGTTGTGATAGTTTTCCAACACGACTGATCGTGGGTGACTATCACAACCGAAATACAAGGAGATCGACATGCAGTAAACTCGTAACACCTGTCTTGTAGCGATTGAATCGCGACGATCAAATCGCGTGAACTCTGCCCGAGGCCTAGGGGGGAAATTAGGTATTGCCTTCAACCTAAGAGACAACTTTCGTTTTAGCGATCACCTTATAATGCACCAATCTCGCTTAAAGGCTCATTGAGAGTTGATCCTAAAATTTTGCTAAATTGCACTGATAACGGCAAAGCATATCACTAGAGCTTTGAACGAATATTAGAGTCAACATCATTTTTCATTCTCACCGTCTGTCTATTGTGGTTGAACTTCGAGGACACCTCGAGCATATTCTATTCAATAGGTGCTTCCTTTCGTTAGCTATTGAGCTTATCGTTAGAATCAGCAAAAAACTGTTATGCAAGTTGCATTTTCAGCGGAACATTGTGATGATTTCTACTTGCGTATCAACAGCATCCTCATTCGACGAACAGATGATGCAAGAAGTGTTGGATCAAGCAATCGAGGTTAGACATTCTTTGTCTATATTGAAGACTTGGGTAGATTTTAGGACACATGCCGAAATTTTGGTCTGCTCTCCCCATACAATAATGATCTCAATCGAGGAGACCAGGAAGTACAAAATTCAGGTGGATGAAAAGACGAAAGCTTGAAATATGATAATTGCTGCAGAAATCGTTTTTGTAGAACAGAATCTGAAAGTGTTGAACACCATAGAAGATTTGACGGTTGACGAGGACTGTGGAATAACATATGACGGAATGATCTGCAAAGAGAGAGCGAAAAAGTTTCCGACGTCCTACTATCACGTCGAAGAGATGAATAAAGGACCAGGTAAGTCGCAGATTCCTTAGTTGTTTTGGAAATTTGTTTTTTTGGAGAACTAGCCACCAATGAAATTTTATGTAGACAGGAAATATTTTAGTCGATTACGCTCCTCGCCTGGCAAAAATTCCATCGCAGTATCAACTTGAGTCGTTGACTGAGGTGTACATGTGCGATTATCCTTCAATAAACAAATGGTAGGATTGCTTTTGATACTTATCTCGTAGCTAAATTTTCCCTTTTTTTAGCGGTGACTCACCACATAAAGGAGAATTAGAGGTTGATGCACCTTCATTAAACATTCCACCAGATCTGCGTATTGCTCCAGCAACAACAACTAATATTTGCCAAGTGTTTTCGCAATATGTGTCCGAGATGTTGTACTAGACATCTATGTTTTTGAGCGTTTCACGTTCCAATGATAAAATGCAGGATTTGACCTATTTCATAAAAATTTGAGGCCATCTGCATTAATGTGAACCTTAATACGTTCCGTTCCGTTCTTCTAAGATGATATCAAAATCATTCGCACACGAACAATCCGGCGCTCAATTACACGGGCACATTGTTCGAGATAAATTACAAGCAACGGGCAGATACATTAGCATTTGCTTTGAATTGCTTTCAACTCTCAACGGCGTTTACATCTCTTTTCCAGAACATCTAACTCTGAACGGACTTTTTAAGACTTTTATTTAAAAAGCTTGGTAAAACGAGAAATCAAGATCTGCAGGTAGACACAAACTTATACTATTCATTTAAAATGACATAATAAACATACGATGTAAAACAGCTCTTTTTCTTATTGCTTTGCTTTTTTGCTTGATTAGGATTAGCAAATTAATTCCCTGACAAAAATAGCTAGAAAAGCTTGCATGCTAGCTCACTCCAAAAGCAAACGCATTTTTGTGGCGTAAAGTATTTGAAAATCAAAATCTTTAGCGAATTTAGGAAAACTGCGGAAAAAACAAGACTTTTCGCTGCAAAAAGTGTTACATAACATAGTCTGCCTTACATCATCAGTTCTGAAAAAGTTGCGTAATTTGTGATTGCACCAAACGCTGCAAAATCTTTATGATATTAATGTTTCAAAGCTCGATTTCTTATCACTGACCTTACAAAGTAAATGAGCTATTATTGCTGGAACATGTAGATTCAGAGATCCATAATGCAACAGCGAACATTCGTAAAATTGAGAAATATGGGGATTTTGTCCTCGAATCTCGCAGGTATAGCATAGAAAAGACAGATAATGGAAAGGAAAGAAAAAGCTATGGTACTCGAAGTGTTTGTCATTACTGGTTTTACGAGGTCATAAGCCGAATACAAAACTTGCTTTACACAAAAAATGTATTTCAGTAATCTGAAGAGCAAGCCGGAGAAATACAAGTTGTGATTGCCTTATCAGCTGGTTACCAAAGCACCTCCAAAAGCACCTGTCGAATAAAACTTCCAAAAATTAGCGGATGCTAGATATGGGAAAATGAACTGTCGTAAACATCGGCGATTACAGCGCTCGTCGAAACAGTCGCACAGAATACACAGCTGCCGGAAAAGGGAAGAATTTCTGCATATGATGCTTAAAATATCTAATTGTCTTTAATCTACTCGATTTGCGGGGTCAAAGAAAAGGAAAGAACTTTTGCACTGACCTAGTACAAAATAATCGCAGCGAAATTCTAAGTAGTTACAGTTACAGTTACATCAGCCGCTCTCTGCCGCTACGCGGCAGATTCGTCTGGTACTCAGCAGCTTTGCTGCCTCGTAAATCTTTCGTTTCACTCTATAATGAGGAGATGTGAAGAAAATTTGCCGTTCTGCACGAATTACTTTTACTTTACCTGCGCAGACGGAAAAACTGAGGACATAATTTTGGCTTTGTCAGTTTTGATATTATGCAAACTGCAAAAAAAACAACCAATAGATCGATAGGGGGAAGCTGTGTGTCCCGAATAAAACGGCTTGTTACGGGCCCATTGATCCTTCTATCCTTTTTGTGCATAAAGAATTTTCCAAGAAAAGCAGCAAAAAATTATCAAATCGATAAAAGCAATGAGTGGGTCCCGAACAAAATGGCTTATTAACACATGCTCCACCCCACGCATTGCGTATGCCAAATTTGGCTCAGATTCCATTACTTCTTCTATCTTTTTTGGGCGAAGATACGAAAAGCGGCTTAGCCAAATGTTATTTAAGTATTGATATTGATATTATAATAGGTCGTTCCACGCAACAGAATGTTCCCTTCCTGCTGTGCCTTGAGAGATACAGCTTTGTCTGAGTGGCGCAAAAGCTTGATTGCAAGCGCTAACTATCGATTTTACGCTTCCCAAAAAATTTTAGCTTAGAATTTGGAATTAGAATTGAGGTGAAGATTAGAAGTGAATCAGAAGATTAGAAAAACTTAAATACCATAAGGTTGCCGCCGCCTAGTTAGCGGAGTTCATGAGGGGTCATGAACTGGCAGCAACGCTAATTTGCACTCAATTTGCACCCAAGATGAGCTGATTCTGCTCACGGTAACTGCGTCATCATCCTGCAGCCTATGAAACCGGAACTTTGAAATTTAAAGGCAGTGTCCGGGCAAAAAGTCGATTTTGAGATTTTGTGCTTACCCGGGCCTATTCGCCATGCTGACTTCGAAAATCCACATTGGAAAGCGCGAAAACGGCGAAAAAGGGCTCTAACGCAGGAGGGAAATCAGTTGGTGGGCGGGGTCTTCCCCACTGTGGATTCACGCTCCAAGCTTCCGGAGCGATCTTCTCGGTCCCGCTTTCAAGTCATTGCATTTGCACCTGGCCTGTGAAGATCTCAGCGCGCTAACGGAATCGAGAAAATCGCTTCAGAAGCTGGGGCCGCGAAATTCACAGTGGGGAAGACCCCGCCCACTTCTGATTTCCCTCCTGCGTTAGAGCCCTTTTTCGCCGTTTTCGCGCTTTCCAATGTGGCTTTTCGAAGTCAGCATGGCGAATAGGCCCGGAAAAGCACAAAATCTCAAAATCGACTCTTTGCCCGGACACTGCCTTTAATTCAAAGTTCAGTAGTAAAGTCACTCCAATCAGGGCAAAAACTTGTATTTAGGGGTATTCCATCACGCTGATTCCGAATATGTTGATCATTTTGCTTGGAACCCAGGATTTTTTCTTTTTTGAATTGAAACTTGTTTTCACAAATTTTTCAACAGAAATTTCAAAATTCTATGTAAAGTGTCATGACTCTCGCGATCATGATCCCAATGAATGAGAACACGGTACTGTGTGCCTCATCATAGTTTTAAAAACATTACGGCTATCTGTGAATTATCTTTTGAGAGAGCCGCAGGGCTCTTAAAGGGGGAGCCGGGAGTTCGAGGGAGGCGGTAAGGCCTATCCCGACGAGGAGCCCGAAGGTAATCTTCTCAGGCAACTTATGTTCTCTGATTCTTGTAATCTCTTTCACCTTGTGTGAGCAATAAAGCATATTCGAGACATTCGTGTACTTCAAATCTACATCATGCCGCTTTGCGGTACGCACATGGTGCATCGGCCGAATTTAGGGCCGGGCATACTTCACGCGATTTCAGTCGCGACGCGACTTGGCAATTTGCCAGAAGCCTTCAGATCCAACACTGGCAAACTGCACATGCATAGTGTGTATAACTTACGTAGATTGATAAAATGTCCTATCTTCTGTACATTTTAGATGTGACTACAGTGAGCTATGGACGCTTGGAATATTGCCAAATCGCGTCGCGACTGAAATCGCGTGAAGTATGCCCGGCCCTTTTACAGGCCGAAAACGGTTCAGCCACCCATGTGGCCAACGAATGGCAAGATGAACACAACGTTAGAGGCAATTGAAGGAACTACTTCAGTATGGCCCACTGGAGCATATACTGCTGTACGTTGTGTGCCACACTTGCGCAAAAAAATGAAGAAGCGCTTCAAGATGTTAAAGAGAAAGATGAACAAAGACCCTCCTTTTGGTTTATGAAAAAGAGTTCATTGAGACAAAGAAAAAGATGCGCCGGCACGAATAAAACGGTAAAATCAACGGAATTATTGGCAATGAAGTAAATTTTCATAAAAGCGAATTTAGTGAAGCAGACAACAGCAAAGAAAAAAAAACAAGACACAGATGGCGAATCAATAGAGGAGAGCTCGGTAACAAAATAAGACAACGCGCATATTTGCCACGGAAAGCGAAAGAAAACAAGAGCTACGCAACCTTCACCACCACAAAGCACATAACGAAGGCATTGCCACCTTTCCGATGCATTATTGGCTCATGGCACTATTGATCGCGTTGAACAAGTTTGTAATTCAAGGCAAATGTGCTAGCATATCATCTTAATGCTGATAAGGAAAAACTGACGCCACCTCCGGTAATATTCCACATATTATTTCTCAAATCAGTGTTAGACTGTCAATTTTTTTTTCAGAAGAATCGTTTCTGCTTTACTACGACGCATGCTTCTTTGGCGCACGAGCAGACGAATGAGGCGGAACATGAGCAAGACGAAGAGATCGAAATTATGAAGTTTGAGTCATTAATTTAACCACAAATTTTTGATTTAGACATTCCACATTTGTTTCTGTTAACTTTGTTTTTAAGTGATCTCAATGATTTTTAGTGATTCCAATGTTTTTTCGATCACGAAAGCTAATAAACAATTTTCTCAACTTTGTATTGTGCACAGCACCATTGTAAGATGTTTTCGTAGGAATTTGTGGGTACTATTGAAGGAGAACCAGTTCGAAGAAAAGCCCAGCCAGCAGCTAATCGAATCGCTGCTAAATCGCGTCTCCCGCAGGAGACTGCAGCGTAGAGCGGGAGTCCCGCCGGTGATTGGATCGCGACATTATCGGGACTCCTTTAGGAGCTCCCTTTTTTCTCACAAGGAAAGATACTTGGTGTCCGTGGCCTTTTGAGATGAGATATATACCATTACACTCGTCTTGGAGCACCGATTCCGAATCTGACTTCTGTTTCTGCTAATCGCTTCAAAGATGTTATAATGGATCGCGCAGAATCTGACTGCCCAGTGAAATACGGTCGGAGCGCGAGCGCTAAGGTGCACTGTGGTCTAGTGGTTAGTGCGATAGGCTCATGAGCTGATGCAGGTGCAGGTTCGATCCCTCTGTGTTTTTCAGTTTTGCATTGCCTCAATTAACTTTCTTCGCATCATCGAACTATGTGAACGCCCTTACTCTTCAAAAAATGTGGAATTTAGGAAAAAAAGATTGCTATTTGCGCTAATTTGTATCCAAAGATCATAGTTCAAGTAAACTTTCTCGAACAAGCTTGATTGAGACAATGCAAAAGTAAAAACACAAAATGATTTGAATCTACACCTGCTTAACTTATAAGCCTATCGCAATAACCAGTAGGCCAGAAGGTGGCCGCGG